CATTGATGGGCTGGCTGCCTGAAGAACTTCAGAGGTCCTTAAATGCTGGAAAAAAAAATCTGTCCCCTCATATTAATTTAAAAGAGACCAATAAAGTTCTGAATTGTCTTGGATGATTTAGTCAATGCTTATTTGAAATATCAAATATGTAATTCTCAAAAAAATAGTTTTGGTGCCTCTGCTTTGCATCACATACTTAGCCATAAGAGAAATGTTCATCTATAAAATTTATAATGTAAGGGATGGAATTTCTATAGTTCTATACATATCTAACTTTCTAAGTGTTATGAAAATAGAATGATGAGAAACAGTAAACATATATTTTTTTTAATTTTCTTCTCCGATTCTATGCTTCTGAGTATGTTCTGTAGAATTACTCCAGAACAGCCTTGACTTCATGATTCAAATCACAGGCTTTATTACAGATTCTACAAATACTATCTCAGGTCTCTTTTCTAGATGAGTAAAATTACAGAATAAAGGCTCCATTACATGTAGGAAAATATTCAAAAAGCTGTTTTTAAGTATTTGACACTATACAACTGAGAATGTCATAAAGTGGAAAGTGGCACACAGATATTACTGCTTTTGAAAACAAAAGTAAAGAGCTTTTTCACTAGGCCCTGTTCTAATAATTTTATTCATTACCAAATTTGTTTAAAGGTTTATGTCATATTAACCTGTATCCATCCAGTCTTACTTTGTATTTTATCTTCTAGTCCTTATTGTGACTCTCTTCATGCAATGTGCTTAAATACTGTTAGCTGAATTATGGTCGGATTTTGAAAAACTGATACACAGTCTTATAATTATGTATCCTTTGGATTATAACTAAGAATTCAAACTAAATGTAAGGCATCAATTATAAAAGGGCACTATTTTATAACATGCACTATTGATTTTGCACATTTTGCTTTCTATGAATAGCTAAGATCATACTCAGATTTCTTGGTTAAAAACCATAAAGAAAATCCAATGAAAAGTTTTAAAAAGAAATTTTGAAACTACTTGAACAGCTAATTAAGAACTTAGAAAATTGATATGAACCTCATATTAGATATACAATTACTTCTAACATTAGTGTAAATTTTCATTTTCTTTCCATTCCTGAGCTATGACAATGTGTGAAAAAAAATTGACCTAATGGTGCCTTTTATTTTAAGTAAAGAAGCTAATTTTGATATTGTAATAATTAGACATCGTTTTTATTGTTGTATCTTAATCCTTTATGCTTCTAAAACTGTTTAATTTTGTCAACACAAAGACCTTACTGGTTTCTTTATCCTATCTTACATATTGCTAGTATTAGTCTTTTTATTGTTACATGTTTTTCCTTTAAAAATATTCATATTCCCTTTGAGCTCTTACCCCCACTGCCATCACATCCTGGGTATCCAGGTCACTCTTCCTAGTTACCAGAAAAATAAATCTATATATACTTGCCTTCATTCTTACAGAAGCTCTACCAGGCCCCTGGTCCCACTTCTTATTCTAATTTGCTTGAGTAGAAGAAAAGAGAGGTCGACAGGGAGGATGTCTCCCATGACTGACCATGTGCAAGTTTTACTACCTGAAATTATTTAAGGGATAATTCCTCGTTCTTCAAATCAAAGATTATTAAACCCTATAATCACTGAAGCTTATCTTAGTCAAAAATTTATTGCAAGCTACTTTATGCTTTCATTCTTTTCCTTAATTTCTACATTAATGACATAAATTAGCTACATATGGTTCTTTCAAACCTTACAGACTTTCGAGATCTCATGGAAATTTTATCTGTTTAAATCATTTTAAAGCGAACTTATGTATCTCTACTGAACACTTTACTTCTACAGCTAATAGTTAACTATCAATTCTTTACAGAGTTGATCCTCCTTAATTTCTCAAAAGCCCCTCATACCTCAAAATTTAAGGAAATATTACCAAATAGCTGACCCTTTATTTATCTTTCCTGCTCATTCATTTTTTCCCTCTTCTGTGATGCATTTATTTTTTTTATTTTTTTATTTTTTTTTAAAGATTTTATTTATTCATTTGACAGAGAGAGACACAGCGAGAGAGGGAACACAGCAGGGGGAGTGGGAGAGGGAGAAGCAGGCTCCCCACAGAGCAGGGAGCCCGATGCGGGACTCGATCCCAGGACCCTGGGATCATGACCTGAGCTGAAGGTAGTTGCTTAACCAACTGAGCCACCCAGGCGCCCTGTGATGCATTTATTTTTAACCTACTACCAAGAAAAGTCTCAGAGACTAGCTAACACACTACCTAAATGGACACATATACAGATATATCCTATTATTCCCTTTCTGTCATTGCTCACTTGATCTCTTCTATTGTCATATTTTGTTAAAAAAAAAAAAAAAATATATATATATCAAAAGACAAGGTATTTTATCTTATGCCCCAAATTCTCCCAATATTAGCTTGCAAATTATTTGCTCATCTAATATTTCTATAAACTAACAATTAGAAATTTATCAACCATCAGGGAGCTATGGATGTTGCACCAAAGGCCAAAGTAGCAGTAGCAACTGAAAGGCCACTTTGTATCCTGTCTACCCTCCCTAAAGCTGAGCAAATCTAGGTCATTACATTCAGCAGGGAGCTTTGAAACACCTTCCAACTTTGTGCTGCATGATGATGAGTGTCTCTTGACCTAGTTTTGAACAAGAGAAATGCAAGGTTGCCAGGCCATGGAGACTGTAATAGTTGGATTTATGCCTTTCTGTTGCTAGAAGGATCCCTAAAATATAAGCTTCATGATCCTTCCCTTTCAAGGAAACAATAATGTGGTTATGCTTGTTATCTCTTGGCTGGGAGGCCAAAGATCCAATATATTATTATTTCAGGTTGTATGCAGATTGAAATTGACTAAGATGGTTTTAATGGTCCTTCAGCTTGACTAAGATATAAACAGATTACTTCTGAACTTTAGATCTTTGGTCTCCCTTTTCTCAGAGCATTTACTTCAGAAAACTTGTACTTATAAATTCTTTCTCTACTCCTTTGAGATGTAAGTAATTTTTAAAGCCTTTTTGCCAGTTTTACAACCCAGGAATCTTGTTCTCAAGGACCCGGAAGCATTCTCTTTGAAATGTCAGGTTCAAGGATGATAGTACCCTTACCTCTCAGTTTTTGTGGGAGAATAGAAGTATAATTTGAGTGGGTACCTTGCTCTAAGTTGTAAAACTACATTATGTCACAAAGATAGGAAAAAGTTTACTTTTCCTTTAGGTAATGCCAAATGGCAAACACAGATGGTTTGTGTTCTCTCATCCTAGCACTAAAAATCTCTCCCTCCCTTTGTTTCATCAGAATTAAATAAAGACTGAATTTTGTCTCTCTCCCCTATTGCAACAGCCTTGAATACATACTTGTTTACTCACTTACCTTTGTCCAGTCCAATATTTTCTTGGACAAAATATAATTTAAAAATAACTGAGGCAGGGGCGCCTGAGTGGCTCAGTCAGTTAAGTGCCTGACTTGATTTTGGCTCAGGTCATGATCTCAAGGTTGTGAGATCCAGCTCAGTAGGGCTCCATGCTCAGTGGGGAGTCAGCTTGAGGTTCTCTCCCCCTTTCCCTCTGCCGCTCCTCCCTGCATGGGAACTCATGCTTGCCTGTGCACGCTCTCTTTCTCTTTAAAATAAATAAATAAATATTTAAAAAATGAAAAAAGGTAAAAATAACTGAGGCTGGGAAATGTGTATGTCTGTCCATCACATTGCTATTTTGAGATTCAGCACCCAGAGAATGAGCATTTTTCTTTTCAAAGAGGCTTAATTTACTGATTGAGTGTTATATTAGCAAACTCCCTTCTATGAGAAGCCAAATCCTCCTTCAGGAAGACAGATTCCCACTAGTCCCACAGCCTTTTGGTTCTAGTGGCTGATCTTCACAATGCCATCTCATGTTTCCCAGTAACCAGATATGCTGCAAAAACACAGCTCCTTAAGCTAGGGTCCTGCTGTTTTGATAATCGGGTCCTAGCCTACCTTTTTTCTTATTTCATACCATGATTGAGAGTTCAGGCAAAATGAGCCACCTGCCATTTATACTATATATATATAACTTCTATTTATATATCTATCTATATAGATAGATAGATAGATATAAATTCAATTCATACCATCTACCTTGGCCTCTATCACAAGATTTTATTATAATGTCTCCCCCTTACCACAATAATCCTAAAAACTATTAAAATGTTTTAAATGAATATGAGTCCTGATAATGCTTTGAACAGCAGGTTTTATGCCTTCTAACTCTCTTAATGTGTCACATTATATCAATATTTATTCCTTCATCTAATTCTTCTCCACTTGGACTATGAGCTTCTGGAAAGCTAAGACATCTTATTCATTAGTTTATTCTCCAGAGATACAGCTGATACTTGCACACTGAGAAACATTAACAAATGTTTGCTAAATTGGCAAACTTATTTGAATGCACTAAATATGACATAGTGCAAAGGCCATTAGAAAATGTCAACATAGTAGATCAGGAGGAAAAGCCTCAAAAAGTAGTCATTTCCATAACTAAGTATCTTCATCGTCCTTTTCAGCTAAGTTTGTCAAGTCCGCATTAAATGTTCTGTGAAGATTTTAATATTAAAATAATACATTTTAAGGAGAAAAGAGTTATTCCAACCCATAGGAAAGAAAATGAGAATCTATTTCCCTTCCTAATGCTCTCAGAATGGACATTAAAAAATTCTTATTTGATAATTAATAACCTCTTTGCTTGTCTCCCAAGCTCATTCCATTGACTATGTTTATAAGCTTATTATGACCTTTATAGAAGGGAATAGGGTATATGTATACATATATACATTTGTGATTCCATGACAAATGAAAAGGTAGTCTGATTTTTCCCCGTTAGATAATCTTTCAACTGAAAAAGTGAAAGATACAAACTAAACACTTTTTAAGCTTTAAATTTTATACTCAAATTCTAAAATTCACAAGATATCAACATGAAGTTATAATTCTTTCACTGTACCTGTATATGCAAATTGGACAAGGTCCCAGAGGGCATTGGGGTCTATGCCTTCCATCTTGATCTCCTCTTGCTTGGCTTCACAAACATCACTTGTAAACATGGCAGCAAAATAGTCGGAGACTGAGCTCAGAACAAGCCTGAAAGAATCATAGGGTCTAATTTAGGTCATGAGTTTAAAGCAGCAAATGCTAAGCGTCAATAAGAATGCAGTGTAGGGGCACCTGGGTGGCTCAGTTGGTTAAGCGTCTGATTCTTGGTTTCAGCTCAGGTCATGATCTCAGGGTTGTGAGATGGAGCCCTGTGTCAGGTTCCACACTCAGTGTGGAGTCTGCTTAAGACTCTCTCTGTTCCTCCCACTCTGCTTGCTTGCTTGCTCTCTCTCTCTAAAATAAATAAAAAATCTTAAAAAAAAAAAAAGAATGCAGTATAGAGGTACTCTATCTATCTACCTACCTATCATCTATTTATCTCTGTATCTATCTATCATCTATCTATCAATCTATTTATTGCCTTATAGATTGTACTTTTCAAAACTGAGTTAGGAAATCTTGTTCCACCTTTGGTCACAGAACATTCTTCTATCATTTTAAATACATATTTTTTTCTCTCACATTTAGTTCTTCCATCCTTTTGGATAGGAATCCAATTTTATTTCTGTCTATATACTCACTTTTTACCACACTACCTACTAAAGACTCTGATTATTCCCCACTGAATTAATGGCACATCTATATTGAGAATTTGCATCCTGAATGTATACTTATCTGTCTCTGAGATTTCTATTGTTTTCTGCTTATTTGCCTGTTCTTGTAAGAACATATTATTCTTTTTATACTGTGAGTCTAAATATGTCTTTATAATCATATGAGGCAAGTCCTCTGTCTTTATTTTTATTTAACTATTAGTGAAGTTGTATTCTTCATTAGAGTTTAAAGTAAGTTTGTTAAGTTCTTCGAATAAGTTAAATGGAATTTTTATTAAAAATGCACTGAATTTCTGATTTTATTTTTGGTGATCGTTGGTATATTTATAATATAAAGTCATCCAACACAAAAATACAAAATATATCTCCATGTTTTCAGGATATCCTGTCTGCTTTCTATTCAAATTTTAAAGTTTTCCCTAAAATCATCTTGTATATTCTTGGTTGATTTCTTCATACTTTACAGTTTTGTTGGCATTATGTGTAGTAACTTTTTAAAAAATTCTATTTTTTTGTTGGTTTTTGTTGGTTTAAAATTCTGAAACTCATAAATCCATCTTTTATCTGACATATTTACTGAATTATCTTTCTAGTTCTTTTGACTCTGCTATTTTTTTTTTCTAGGTAGATGATTATTATCACCTGCAAATAATCTCATTTTGTCTTATCCTTGTTTATTTTCTATAACTCATTTTCTTTTTCTTTTCTGAAAACTTCATCCAGGACCTCCAGTGTTCCAGTGGTGTGCTGAACAATCACTGTGCCAGGGGAGAAAATTTGTGTTTTTCTCTATCTTCAAAGAAACACATCTAAAGATTCTCCTTTTAGTAAGATACTTGTTGAATGAATTGGTATGTAACCTTTATCATGTCAGAAAGACCTCTTTATTTCTAGCTTTGCTAACCACTGTTATAATATATAGGTGTTAAAATTCATAAAAGGCCTTTATCTCAATCAAAATTATCTTTAGCATTTTCTATTTATAGTCACAAGAGAGATGAACCTATAATTTTTTTGTTGTATTTTCTTATCTGACTTTTCTTTTTTAAGATTTTATTTATTTATTTGACAGAGAGAGACAAAGCAAGAGAGGGAACACGAGCAGGCGGAGTGGGAGAGGGAGAAGCAGGCTCCCCGCGGAGCAGGGAGCCCGATGTGGGGCTTGATCCCAGGACCCTGGGATCATGACCTGAGCTTAAGGCAGACGCTTAATGACTGAGCCACCCAGGCTCCTCTTCTTATCTGACTTCTGAGTTAATATTACATAGCCTCATAAAATGAGGTGGCGGCTTCAACTCTTTTTAATTTTGTATAATGATTTATAGAAGAAAGCAATGAATTTTTCCCTTAAGATGTTCCAGAACTTACCTGAAAAAATATTTTGGTTTGACTATTATGAGAAAAGGTGACATGATCTCATTTTAATTATTTAATAAACTACAAGGCTTATTTTTGTGCTCTATTTCTTCATTATCAACTTCTGCATTTCATATATTTTTTAAATTTACCCATTTTATCTCGGTTCTAAAATTTATTGATGTATATTAATGTATATAAAATTATGTGTGGCTTTAATTCTACATATATATATATATTCTCTATCTGTTCTTTTGGGTGAATCTTTTCATTGTCTTTTTTCAAAAAATCTCATTCATTAACATTTTAGCTACATCTTTTTTGCATATAGATGAATGCATTTTTTTAAAGTGGTTCTTCTTGAGTAGGGATCAAAATATTTTTTTCTGTAAAGAGGCAGATATTACACATTTTAGTCATTGAGAGTCATATATATAGTTTGTCATATATTTCATAGTTTTCAAATCAGGAGATATTCTTTTTCAGTTACTTATTTTGTAATTTTATCTGCTTTATGTCTTATTTCTACGTAAGTGAAGGACATGATAAAAGCTAACTTCAACAAAGAGAGACATTTCTTCTTTTAACTAAAAAAAAAATCCTTCAACATACACTTTATGCATTTAAAGAGTACTTTATGGGATCCATGATTTTAGCTACCTATTAATATGAATGCCTAGGGTGGAAACTTGTTTAAAATACTTAAACTTATCAATTTGTTACACATTTAATTGAGCCATTTGTTAACTAAACATGTTATTTCTTTATACTCTCAAAATCTGACAAAATAATGAAGACACAGATATCTTCAAATATTTATTACATACCAGTTAGATATATCATGTCAAAACAGTTTTATCAAAAGAACTAAATATAACATTATATGCTATGAAAATAAGCTGTCATAAACCAGAGAGATATATATCATTCCTAGGGCACAAGAAGTATATTGATATAAAGTTAACCAGTTTAATCTTACACATAGAAAGGTTTTATTTGTAACAGGGTCACATCCATATAGAGGAAAATATATGACCTGTAGAATTCAATCTTAATTACATGAAATCTTCTCAATCAAATATAACATACAAAATATGTTATATTCTTTCATTCAGTAACAGAAGTGAAAACAAGTTTATACTGCATTTAGATTAAGTGACACATGAGATGGGAATTAGATTTTGGAGGAGGGATTTAATGCATAACAGAAAGTGATATCTTGGGCGCCTGGGAGGCTCAGTTGGTTAAGCAACTGCCTTCGGCTCAGGTCATGATCCTGGAGTCCCAGGATCGAGTCCCGCATCGGACTCCCTGCTCAGCGGGGAGTCTGCTTCTCCCTCTGATCCTCCCCCTCTCATGCTCTCTGTCTCCCATTCTCTCTCTCAGATAAATAAATTTTAAAAAAAATCTAAAAAAAAAAAAAAAGAAAGTGATATCTTTACATGCACATATATAAATTCTATTAATGCAAAGGAAGCAAGAGAAGAAAACCCATAAATGTGTGAATGCTTGCAGCCATTCTGGAAAATCTCTCACTGAGGTCATCACAAATTTATTTCCTTCCAAATCTATTAAGCTTTTCTAGCCCTACTCCAATTTATTGGTGGTGTTTGACATTGCTGACCTCCTCCTCTTCTTAAAATTCCCTTTTTAGCTAAGGTAGTATAGACTTTCTTATCTCAGCTTACCTCTGATTCATTGACTTCTCTCTCTACTCTTACTTCTTGAGCCTCTCATTACCCTAGGTTTTTTCTCAGACCTCTAAATTTTTGTCTTAACACTCCTTGTTTCAGAATCATCCTTGAGCATGGCCTTAATTATTATCATTATGGTGGTTTTAAATCTTGCTATGTATCTCAGATGCCTACAGAAACTGCTCACCAGATAGCCCAGTAGTATCTCAGGATGCTCTGAACGAAACTCAGAGTCTTCCTTGTGAGATTCTTTTTTTTCATTTTTACTTCTCTGTTACTAACTTGTGCACTACCAATATATTGAACTTTCAGAATAGATATTATGAAGTCATTATTTGTCTCCTTCTCTTTCATTGCCTATATCAAAAATGACATAAAATCCATCTTTCCTTTTGTACTGGACTGTGTGGTTACTCTGGCCGGACCCTCTTTATGAGGCACAACTATGCCCCAGTGCCAGTGATATCATCTGACTTGTCCCAGCTATCCCTTTCCTAGAATCACACTTGGCCCAATAGGAGCTGCCTCCCTGGGAGTTTATGCGTCCAGCTCTTCTTACCTCATCCCCTGACCTCCACAACCTCCCCATACAGTCACCTGTGAGTTGGCCCAATGGCAATTAATAATAAAAGCAGAGTGTAAGATGCTGTCTTTTTCCTCAAAGTATGACTAACTCTGCAGCAAGTCATGCTCCAGAGCTTCTTGGGAGTTAAAGATGAAGCAAGGCTCCAGCTGACAGCTACATCTTTGATTTGCTCCTTCCTCTGCCCTATCCTTTTCCCTTTCTTCTGAGAATGCTCTTTAAATAAACCATGCATTATTTGTTTCAGAGGTACAGATCTGTGATTCAACAGTCTTGCTCAATTCACAGTGCTCACAATAGCACATACCCTCCCCAATGTCTATCACCCAGCCACCCCATCCCTCCCACCTCCCACCACTCCAGCAACCCTCAGTTTGTTTCCTGAGATTAAAAATTCCTCATATCAGTTAAGAAGAAGAAGAAGAAGAAGAAGAAGAAGAAGAAGAAGAAGAAGAAGAAGAAGAAGAAGAAGAAGAAGAAGAAGAGCAGGAGGAGAAGAAGATAGCAGGAGGGGAAGTATGAAGGGGGGGAAATCGGAGGGAGAGGTGAACCATGAGAGATGATGGACTCTGAGAAACAAACTGAGGGTTCTAGAGGGGAGGGGGTGGGAGGATGGGTTAGCCTGGTGATGGGTATTAAAGAGGGCATGTCCTTCATGGAAAAAAAATAAAAAATAAAAAATAAATAAACCATGCATACTTGAATTCCAGTCTCCAGCTCTACTTCCAGGAATACTTACTAATGACACAGTTCTCCAAAATATTTCTCAGTTCATCTCTTTCTCTATATTTATATAATACT